AATTTTTTGCTAACTTGAAATTTTAATTTCCCTCTGAATAACATGCTATCAAAATTAATTATCTCGATAATTATTGTTTTTATCAAAAAATGTTTTAAATAAAATTTGTTTCAATTTCGATTTTGAATCAATTATCTTAATAAAAAAATTTTACATCTCTATTAATTAAGCATCTAAGTGTAATTATGTATAAAAGTGGAAAAATTATTATTTTGAGGTTATCTCTTTAATTAATGATTAAATCAAAAAAAATTGTTGACAAAGTTTGTTTAGAATTGTTTCAGGAACAATTTTTGTTAAAAAAATTTTTTTTTAACTTGAAATTTTAATTTCCCACTGAACAGTATGCTGTTTTTTTAATCAGAATGAGTGGAGGGGGGAAATCGTATCGTTTTGTTACAAAAGTTCCGTGCCCTATTGATGAATTACTTGTTCGTTTAAAGGCATGTGCCCAACAGGATGGTAGTGTGTTTGAGTAAATAAACTTACAACTTATGCATTGTTAATTTGGAATTAGTTAATTGATATTAAAATAAATTTAATGATGACAAATAAATAAAAGTAGGCCGATTTTTTCGAAAATTGGTATTAGAGACTACCTTTTACTTTTCAACAACTTTTCCTAATAACTTATTTTCATATCTTCTCAAATAAATGCACTTTACTCTTGTACCATTTAAAGTTTTTTCAATTTTCTGAACACCGCGTATAAAATATGTTAAATGTTTCTATCCCAATCTTACTCTAAGAACTAGCAAAATTTTTTATCAAGACAACTTTATCCGATAAAATTAAAAATAAAAAAGTTTTTCCTATTCAACACCTTTTCCGTGGACATACTGCATACAGGTGTTTTTTTTTATTTTTTTTAAAAGAAAAATTATGTAAGTAATGATACTTTGGTGATAATTTATTAATTTATCGTCTAGACCTGGTTTCGGGCCTTGCCCTTCATCAGTAGATTAGACCCTACAATGTACAAAAATATAAGATAGTAACATTAGAAAAAATTAAGGTTAAAGTATTGAAAGTAATCAAAGTAAGTATTCAAAAAAGTTTAGTTTAAGGAACGTTGGGGCGTGGGGTGCAAGTGGTGCAGAAAATGGGCCGCCACCAAGCTCATTTCGCTCGTCCACTTGTACAAATTATTAATTTTTAATTGAATTTTATTTACATATTTAGTTTAGGAAATGGATTCTTCAGGCATGAGTATAGTGGTTTAGTATTGGGAATAATTTGTTCGTTCAAACTGATAATATTTTGATTGTTCGTGATAAAGCTATTAATTTCGTAAGATTCGATAATTTCCATTAAGTTGCTCTTCTCTAATTGGTGTAGAAGTTTAACATTTTTATCTTCTTGAAACACACGGTTATTGAAGGTTAAATGTCTACCGAAGTTGGATTTTGGGCTGACTTTATGTTCTTTAATTCTGGTTTGCAGGTTTCTCCCAGTTTCACGTATGTATGTTGCTGAACATGTATCACATTGCAACATATAAACTCCACTCTTGGATAATAGAGGTGTTCTGTTTTTGTTGTTAACGAACAAGCTTCTAATAGTGTTCTTGTTCTTGAAAGACATTATTATATTGTTATTGTGAAATATTCTTTTGATTTTGTAATAAAGGTCGCCCGGGAAGTTAATCGATCTGCAAGTAAAACAATATTTGAAGTTTTGATAAAATTTTCGATGCTGCAATTTTCGTCGATAACTTGCAAAATTCGCTATAAAATTAATTTCTTGAAGAATATTTGTGGAAATATTACCAATTATTAACTAAAGTATCCTCTTTTTAATGCAGCAAGCCGTTTTGAAAAGTCATTTTTAGTTCTTGAGAAAAAAATTTTTGAAATAATCGACAATTTTTTCCAATTTTGCAATTTTAGTCGATTAAGTTTTAAAAATTCGTATAAAACCCATTTCTTGGAATATAAATATGAAAATTTCCCAAAGTGTTAATAAAAGTGTCTTCTTTCCAATGAACCAACCCGTTTTGAACAATGACTTTTAGTTTTTGAGAAAACAATATTTGAAGTATAAGTACGAAGGCTTTCACGGCCGGTGTGAATTAAACTAAAATTAGAACTAAAACTAGAAGTAACACTAGAAACTTTCGGGTTTTGCCGTGCGTCTTTTAATAAAAGGTTTGACGTTTCGGATGCCATGTTGCAACCTTCTTCAGAAACTGGTTCGAAGTGACTTCGAAACGTCAAACCTTTTATTAAAAGACGCACGGCAAAACCCGAAAGTTTCTAGTGTTACTTCTAGTTTTAGTTCTAATTTTAGTTTAATATTTGAAGTTTTGATAAAATTTTCGATGTTGCATTTTTCATCGATAACTTGGTTTTTATACTTACTTGTATATCAACACCTTGTTTCTTAGTGATAATGTAGATTTTCTGCCAATAAGTCAATCTTATCTTCATTTATCATATCAAGTTCTTCACGTTTTTTCCATTTGCACTGCATTGCTATTTATGTATACTGGGACATAGTTTACTTTCACATTAGTAAAGTTTATGTAGGACGATTTATTTGTATTTAATTTTATTAGCCATTGGTTGGTTTAGTTTTGGTCCATATTTTAGAGCAAAATGCGAAAACGCTATTCACCACTACATGAAATACAAGCTGGTGTTCCTCAAGGAGGTGTGCTTGACCCCACTCAGTACTTACTCTACATTTCAATATTCCTCAGATACCAGAAACTTTAACAGCTACATTAGCAGATGACAAAGCGATCTTGGCTGTTGCAGAAAATGAAGAAGTTGCAGTAAATAAGTTGCAATTACTCTGACATTTGATTTTATTTTACTTTAGAGACAAAATCTTGGCTAGAAGCTTCGTTAACTGGTAAATTAGAGAATTCATGGCACTTATAATATTTAGTTTATGGATTTTAAGTAATTCATAAATTCTTGGTGGCACTGGGGCCTGTACAAACTACTCTGTTGTTTTGCTGGAATTTGTGTAGATTTCATCTTCTTGATTTTCTTGTAGATGGCTGTATCCAAAAGGCTCATCGTATTGTAGTCGTATTCTTTCCTGTCCATGACCACGTGTCATTCTCTTTGTCTGCTAGTAGAACAATGATGTCTGTTTTATCTCTGATGTCGCCTACGAATGTATTATAATTATAATTTATTCACCTGTATATAATGGATTGATATCCATATCTTAATAAAAAGTAAATACTATTTCGCCGAAATCTGTGATTAAAGAGAATTTTGAAAGAGGATTTATTTAATGGGTGATACTTTAAAAGGAATATATATGTAGAACGTAAAAAGCTTTTCTGGGTATATCTCCTTAACATCTTTTGCGGACTTTTCATTTAGCAGGGCTTATCTTTTTTAATATTAATAATAAGTATTATTTAATAAGTATTAAGGAGGCAAAAAAAATATATCTTTATTTTCTTTTAATTTAATCGATATTTAATTTAGTATTTATTTACTCGTTAAAAATAATAAAACTTAACGTTTACACATAACTATAAAAAATATCTTTTTCTCATACATTACAGTCATTTTGTGTGTAAAGAAGTGAATTTTTTATCAAACATGACGCTCGTCTGGACATTTAACACCCTAGTTTATTACCACTAACGTCCCAGTCGTAAATTTAACGTATTGATTTATCCATAAGCTGTTGGTTGTCCTTTGATACCTTCTTTAAGCTGGTTAACTGACTATTCACTTTAATTTTTCTTGATGTTATATACTAAAGATAATTAATTGAATCTTGGTTGAAAAAATATATATTGTATAAAAAGTAATACATTTTCTTTAATAATCCAAAGCGCATATAAGCGCTACACCTCTTTTAATCCAGTGGGATTGTGGTTGGTCTGAGGGAACCTCAATTGCTAAAACATAATTAGTTGAATGTCCGGTTGTTGATAATGTTCCAGCTCTTGTTAGCGTTTTATAAGTAGGACATTCATATCTTCCTTTGGCCATTGTGTGGTGTTCTTCTGGTAACAACCAAATATAAGGCATATCTATTAAAAAAGTTAATAAAAAAATGGATGTTAAGTAAAAACATTTTTGTACTTGTATATAATTCTTTTGGATTGGATTCATCTAACAACATTGTATTCATATTCCATTTTGATCCTTCCAAGTATAATCCAAAAATGACACAACCATCAGCTGGTTTTACGCTTGGACCTACTTTAAGAACCTATTAAAAAGATCCATTATTTTAATAAATAATGATGATGAAAATTTAAAATTGCCTCAAATCCAAAATTAATTGTATCTATCGACACTATGTACTTCCTGGCAAAATTTTGTAAAGTTCCCGTTAGAAAAGCTTGAGGAAAATAAAATCCTGATATCCAAAAAGCCGGGGGAATCCCATTATCGACCCAACCGTTTAAAAATTTAACTCGAGCTTGCAGATCTGTTACCCAAGAAGCTAAAAAAATTACAATAAAAATATAAAAAATTAAAAAACGTTTCATCAAAAAATTGTACCTAGAGGCTTTAAAGAAGGGTAAGCTTTACTACTCCACATAACCGGCACAATATTACTAAATAAACTATTCGACATTCTCTCCAAAGCTTCCGACATCACAACTAATCCTTTTAAAGCTTTCAATAAATCGTTTAAGCTCGTTTTAATGACTTTGAGAAGTTTATTGTAACGAATAGCTTCTTGAATAATAACGGTGTTCAAAGATTCTTCATAAAGAACGGGATATCGTTCGGAAATTAGGGCCAAATCGAATTCATTTGGAACAACATTCAAAATTGCTATCGCGTTACCGCTTATTGAATCTTCTTGGCTAGAAGACGCTCCGCCGACTTGTTTTGGTTGTAACTTTAACAGAGTTGCTAAACATATATTTGTTAATGCTTGAGCACAACTTATATCCGCATTTGGATGCATTCCGAAAGTTTCCGGATCGTCGTTTAAAGGAAATGTTTTGATATAATCTAAGTAATCAGCGTAAACTGTATCAGGAGGTAACTAAAAAATAGCAAATAATTAAAATAAGAATTGTTAAAGAAAAGAATCGAATCGATTATTTTGCAAGATTTAATTCCGTAATAATTTTATATCAAATAACATTCTTGTCTTGCTGAGATAATTTATCTTCATTCAAAACTCAACTATAACTATGTATACGAAAATTATTGTTGATTTAATTATTTTTGTTGAAAAGTTAAGCTAGATGTATAAGACACCTTTCCCTACATTTTTCTTTGTCAGCCATAATGCTACTGCTGTCAGAACGCTCCTGCTACAGATCTCAATGTCACTTTTCCTTTATTGCAATGATGTATCTTCTACGTTGTTCCAAGATGTGCGAGTTTTCACACCTGGGTAATGTGAAAAAACATTTTTATGCTGATGACACTCAGCTATATAGCTTTTGCACTACATAAAATAAATTCCTTTAACTTTGAGTTGAGTTTGCTAAGTAATTATCACTACTCTAGCAGGATTTTATGTGACATAAAGTTAGAGATCAACGAAGTCTAATAGAAGCAACTGACACGTCATCTCCTCACTGTGTTATAAAGATTCTGTTTAGTCTAGCATTCATGTATATTTGATATTTGATAACCAACACATGACTGGGAACATATAACGTCTGTAAGAGTAAGTTTTAATACAATCAGTCAATAAAAGAAGGTTATGCGCCATGAATATGTTCTCGTCGTTTAAGACCAGATGAGATCGTCCAGCTTTTTTTCCAGAAGAAACAATTGTATTTCTAAACTAGATGAGCAAGGTTTTGAAGTGTTGCAGACTAAGTAATCTCTTCGTTTTTTAATTGAAATCTACATTGAGTGTTGAGTGTCAACCTCAAGATTGTGGATTTATTAACCCAACCCATCTTGCAACCCAGAAGTAAAAACCAACCCAAAAGTAGAAAATAGAGTACAGGGTGTCCAAATTTCGATGGGTTTGCAGGGTATCTCAGTTATTATGAAAGATAGAAAGTTGCGGCTTTCGCGAACCTGAGCTACTTTTTTTGTGAAACTTACAATGGCGCAAACCAAATTTTCATAGCCTCTTCGTTTCTGATATACAGGGAGTGTTTGAAATTTACGATTTTCAGACACCTCCTGTATATCGGCTATCCGCAAACTTAGTAAAAAAGTAAGAACGGGTTCTAATAGATTTTTTCACGTAGAATCCAATGGTGCACGTAGAATTTTTCTAGTCATCACGGTTTTTCAGTTATAAAGAGTTAAGTATTTTAGAAGTTGAGTATTCAGTATTTGAGTTGTGTTTATAACTCAAAAACCGTGATGATTAGAAAAATTCTACGTGCACCATTGGATTCTACGTGAAAAAATCTATTAGAACCCGTTCTTACTTGTTTACTAAGTTTGCGGATAGCCGATATACAGGAGGTGTCTGAAAATCGTAAATTTCAAACACTCCCTGTATATCAAAAACGAAGAGGGCTATGAAAATTTGGTTTGCACCATTATAAGTTTCACAAAAAAGTAGCTCAGGTTCGCGAAAGCCGCAACTTTCTATCTTTCATAATAACTGAGATACCCTGCAAACCCATCGAAATTTGGACACCCTGTACATAAGGTTTGCGACGATTTCGGTCAGTAAGTGATGGTGTTGAGAGGTTTTGGGATTTGTCCCACAGGACAAATCTCTGGTTGAAACCACCATAATTTGATAGATGTTAACTTAAGGTACGATTATTGGTGGACCTCAATGTCATAATCCATCATCCTCTCTGCAGTCAATAGAGTTCAGAAACTCGTGTATTTCTACGTTATAAGCGCACTGCAATTAACGCTTACCGCGGTCATTGAGGACATGGAGGTGGTTTTCTTCCAATCATTTTAAATTATGACGGTTGGGGATTTTGGCAACCGTTTCACACTCATGAAAGGAGAGGATTTTGCAGAGCCTAGTCCCTAAGCAACCCCAACAAAACTGAAAGCAGAGGATAGGATTTATCGATTAAGTCGAGGTCGTTCGCGGCTGAGGCGATGTAATTGATACTAAATTGGACAATATACAGGTGGTTCAGTTAATCGTTCAGTTAATCGGGAAACTTTACTAGGACGTAGTACTTGCCAAAATAATACAAATTTTTTGTATAAACATATGGTCGCAACTCTTTTGTTTCGAGCTATGCTTTTTAGTTTTTAAAGAGACAAAAAAGTACCGCTAAAGAATGGGCTTTACAACCCATATTTTTTATGTTAATATTCCATACCGTTAAATAGTTCTTATAAAAAAAACCAAGGGGGTGGTGAATTTCATCCCCTTAGATGGTGCTACGGAAGTTTAAGATATACTTGAAGATAGGGTCTTAACCAGTAGTAAATATGTACAAAGTTTCAAATTCTACGGTTTACTTACAGCCGAAATACAAAACAAAATGTAAATTTTTGGCTCAACGTTGCGACCCTATGTTTATATAAAAAACTTGTGTTATTTTGGCAAGTACTACATCTTAGTAAAGTTTCCGATTAAAAACTGAACCACCCTGTATATATAGTTCCTCGGTCGTAATCCCAGTCACACCTAAAGTTAAAGTGAGCAATCTATGTCTTCGCCTGAACAAGCTGACGCTCTGCAAGTAATACTTTATCAATTTGAAAGTGATTAACATTCTCCTGTACTACCTTAGCTACTTTGGTTAAACTATTAATGAAAAACGCATAATTGTGTCAAATTAAGCCGAAGCGTTGCAATTGACACCATACCGATACTGAAATTGATCGACACATTGGAGTTCTTTGGATAGGGTATTTATGAAGAATGTGAGAGAATACTCATATTCCAAGAACTGGATTTTATACGAATTTTTAAAACTTAATCGGCGAAAATTGCTAAATTCGAAAAAATTATCAATTATTTCAAAAATTTATTTCTCAAGAACTAAAAGTGATTTTTCAAAATGGCTTTTTGCATTAAAACGCGAATACTTTAATTAATAATTGGTGATATTTCCACAAGGATCCATCAAGAAATGAATTTTATAGCGAATTTTGAAAATTATCGATGAAAATGCAGCATCGAAAATTTTATCAAAACTTCAAATATTATTGTCTACAAAACTAAAAGTTATTTTTGAAAACGGGTTGGTTCATTGGAAAGAGGACACTTTCATTAACACTTTGGGAAATTTTTATACTCACATTTTAAGAACTGAATAAGGAATTTTTAAAACTTAATCGGCGAAAATTGAAAAATTAGAAAAAATTATCGATCATTTCAAAAATTTATTTCTCAAGAACTGAAAGTGATTTTTCAAAGCGGCTTTTTGCATTAAGAAGACGATACTTTAATTAATAATTGAGAGTGATAACAGCGATAGTTCTGTTAGTAATTAATGTGATGAATTACAAGCGAAAGAAGGAAACTAGACGAAATTGCAACAAGAGTTTTTATATATCGGGATTTATATATTGGGATTGTTACAATGAGGTTGTTAAAGACAAACCTGATATAAATAAAGTTGTATTCAATGAAAAATGTCCTATTGTGGTTGAACTTGATTATTATCTGCAGTGTCCAACACCTAAAAGAGATACTAATTCCTGTGAATGATGGAGTTCTAAGTAATAGGTTTTTAATATCCGCCCAAAGCCGAATATTTGGTAACTATCCGGTATCCGGCCGGATTTAAAAAGAATGGCCGGATAGGCCAGCTACCGGATAGTTGCCGGATATCCGTTCCACCACTAGTCGCAAGCAACTTTAGTTACTATATATTACGCTCAACAAAGATAAAACTTTAAGGCTTTAGTCTGCGCAATATTGAAGTCATACCACACTCATTATATCTCCAGGATATTAAGTCTAATTTAATACAATGTATCAGTTTGTTTCGTAGTACATTATTAGCAAAGTAAATATATTAACGTAGTAATTGATATCTATTTTTAGGAACAACTTTATTTTTATATAATGGTAAAAATTTTAAGGTATGATGCAATGCTGTATTCGGCTAAGCCAGAAAATGAGGAAAAAGTTAAACGAGCTGAAATCATCCATCTATTTTACAAAGAAACTGCAACAAGACTAATCACTTCTACATATAAATGGCGTCATTGTCAACAAATAAGTATCAAGACAGAGCCTGAATGATAAACTTAGGTGGAAAAAGCATTTAAAGAAGAAAAGAGGAATTAGCTATAAAATACAGACAATTTTTGTAAAACGATTAGAATTTCGTGCTTGGATTGATTTTGTGATTAAACATTGATTTTTATAAATGATCTTTTTTCAAAATAACCGATTCAATATCATAATGATGGATATAATTAAATACCTGGTAATAACGTTTTTGTTTTTTATCAAAAACATATCCACTTGTACAGACAGTAATATTATAATAATCATACAAAATGTTCATTAAACATCTTCGATCCCAATCATCAGTAACTCGACCTCCATAATTTATATGACCAGCTGTGTAAATTAAAACTTTAAAAGGAATATCGTCGTATTCGTCAATAAACATATTTAATTGTGAAATACAAATTTTTAAGTCTCCATCGGTAAATTCATACGGGATATTAAAACCCAACGGTCCAAATTTTCTTCGTTCCAATAAAAGTGCGTGGAATAAACAAAGTGAAAACAGTAAGTATTTGAAGCTTGGGACTTTTACATTATCTGATGCGAGATAATCTAAGAAATCGGTTACTGGACTTTGATAAGCTCTCATCATATTCGCTTTAATTCCTCGCGGCGGTTCAACAGTCATTTTACAACCGTTTTGAAGAATTGAAACTGGAAAATACGGGGATGGAGTTGAAGTTAACCAAATGCGAAAATCTTTATGGATGCTTTCCGGTGAAAGTGTTTCAATTATTCTTTCTAACCGTGGCATCCAACTTGGAGCTAAATGACAATTCTAAGTAAATTGATATAAAAATTAGAAATTATAAATAAATAACTTTTAATCTTACTTGGAAGAATACCCATGATCCGATATCTAACGATTCCTTAATCATTTTTTCAGCTATAGGACCTTGTCCTTGTCCTAATGAAATAGTCATCATCCTTTTAGACATTCTCATCCTGTCAGCGAATTTAAAAAGTGAAGCTGCAGGATCAGTTCCGGTTGAAAGAACGAAAATTAATGGGATAAGTGGTCCTGATTCTTTATACATGTCACCCAAATCGCTTGAGATTGGTTCAACGAACCTCGCTCCTAAGTATTTCGTTAAAAAATCTTGCATCGCATTGGTTACCTTATCGGGCCGCAAACTTTTCAAAACGATCATGTTTTGAAAATCGTTGTAATCGTTTAAAACACTGGGTAAAGATTCTCGATGTGGTTCTAATGAGTCAAATATTCTTTTGTAATCCATCTTATTTTCGCCGAATGTTTTAACAAAATCTATAAATTTTGGAACTGCTCCTAAAGCGAGAATTTCATTCCATGCCTTTGGAGAAAGCCAATCTGAACATGGATTTGGAAGATTCTAAATAAAAAAGATTTTTAAACTCTTTGATTATACATGATAAAATTTAAAGGAATTTTTACCAAAGCTGGTTGACCTCCAGCTAAGAAATGATGCCATTCGTGCGGATCAATAATTTTTGAATTCATTAAAATTCTTATGCACATCAAGAATGCAAACTGTAACTTATTCTTTTCAAACAAGCTCCTACAAACATTTGCATATAAGCTAAAAGTAAAGTATTCGTTGATGGTGTAAACGCGTTCATCTAAATCGTCGCATGTTTCGGTATTAACCATACTTCCAACGAAAATACTAACAAACCATTCCAATGAATATTGATACATTGGGTCTACGTTAGCTAAATCTGATAAACAGAAAAATAAAATTTGTCCTCGAACTGCTACGGGAACGTATAAAGCTCGAGTATGATCAATATCGACTTGGGTAATTTCAGCTGCTTCCACTTTTACTTTAATATCTTCGCTTTTTACTTTCGAAGCTTCCAACATAACGATAAATTCCAGATCGTCAAGTGGACTTCCTTCACTGGCACTTAATTTGTATAAAATCCTATCTTGAATCTCTTTCAATTCTTGTTTCATTTGAGCAATGCTAACTACAATTGTACTTCTCAATTCCTCCAAATCCGGTCGTTCTTGAAGTACGACAATTCCCAATAATTGATCCTCTAAACCACTCGGAACTAAAGTAAAATTTACTAACAACACTTTAATCGATACTTCCGGCGTATAATGAGGATTGGCCCATTTAGTTGTTATAAATAATTGGAAATCGTCGTTGTAAGGAATCACGGCGTCACCGATTTTTATCATCATTTGATTGCCCTGTTTATAAACAGAACGATTCAATATTGGATCTAAGGCTGGGTCTAATTCTTGACCAACATTTTCGATTAGAACCGGTTTTCCAAATCTTATTCCTGATTCTAATGTTCGTAATAAATCTTTATCTGCTTGTTTGCATATTGATAATCCTCTTGGCTTACACTAAAAGAAAAAAATGTTTGCTATAATTTAGCAAATTTTATAAATAATAAGTATAGGTAAGGTATTTCTAGAATTCTATTGATAAAATCTCTTCTGCTATAAGATACTTTTGTATTCTCTGTTTTTCATTAATTTTACTAAAGACAACACTTTTATACTTAAATTTACATACCTTTAAGATGATGAACTTGGGCTATATTGGATAGTTGGAGGATTGGCAATGGTAAACATTTTGATTATACAATCTTTATTATACAATACAATATACGTATGGAAAACAGAATGGCAAAATCAGTCTCTATAGCTTCCGCAAAGAAGAAGAAACATAGTCAGATCTAGTAAGTTAAATATAGTTGCAGAATTCTGCCTTAGAAACAAGTTTGAAAGAACATTGCAATTTTGGAACAAAATTTAGTATGAAAGCAACTGCACTTCAATTTATTTAGAAAATGTACATTTTTGGCACCAAACCACAGGTGTGACCAAATATATTCCGTTTGCCTGTCTTACCCAATTCCTCCAAGCTGGTAATCTTTGAAAACCTGAGCAACTCTGCGGAAGTCTGCGGAAATCAATCGCAGTGGGAAGCAAAATATGATCCTAAGTTCCATTAATAAAGTGAACATAGAAAAATTAAAATACCCAGAAGTACATAAAAGTTTCCAGAAGGAAATTACTAGAAGACATACACAACTAAAGCTAGATGCATAACTAATAGAAGAACTGTGACACGACATTAAAATGGCAGCAACAGATACTACAAAATGAATATTAGGAAAGAACGAGGTTTAGAACTTGTTGGTGGCCAGGGAATTTTTCTCTGATCTGAAATTTAGAGGTCACAACACACACCATGCATTGGATAGGCACGTTAAGCAGTCGGGCCCGGTAGCTATATCAATGTCGTAAGCTATTGTTAATACAACAAAAACTCCTCCTCACAGGTAAGGCTAGCCACCTGGCTAAGTTGCGGGTAAAAACAGCTCAAGCAACATTTAGTGGTTACAAAACAAGCTTATAAAGCATAGCTGACTAGCAAAGAGGAAGAAGAAGAATATTAGAAAAGCAAAAAGATAGAAATTGTTTGGATTATGGTTTGACAAAGAGTGTAAGGAAGCGATACATGGTTTGATTTTGCTGCTGTGAATTGAAGAACGGGAGAAATTGTATAGGAGGAAGAAAAAGGCTGTAGTTTAAAGATTCTAGTTTATGATATGATATAAAACTATAAGACAATATTATTGAAATTTGCAGGAAAGATTTCTTAAAGAGGAAATTGTTAAATTAATAAATCAAAAATAATACAAAATTGTCAGAAAATCAATCATATAGACTGTATTTTTAAGAATTAAGATATGATATGTATATTAAATTGAAGCTAAGATTCTAGTTTATGATATGATATAAAAGCTATAGGTTAATATAAATTGTCAAATATACAGGGTGACATAGAAAAAAGTACATTGCATAGTGCCACACAATAGAGGACACTAAAATAAGAAAAAAAGTTCCTATGAACATGGGTCCGCAAGGCCTACGGTTAAAAGATACGGGGTGTTGAATTTTAATTTTTTTTTTATTTATTTGCAAAAACAATGATAAATACTTCAACAATTAAATTTTAGGACCGATTCAATAGAGATGGAACCCTGTATGTATGTAGCGCTCTCCATCAGTAATCACAAAACTAAGATCATATTTGAATTTAGCATGATAAAAAACCCCTGTATACCACATTTTATCCATTTTTTGCGTCTCTGGCTAAAGATATTCAAAAAAAAAAACCCAAAAAAAAATAAAATTCAACACTCCGTATCTTTTAACCGTAGGCCTAGCGGACCCATGTTCATAGGAACTTTTTTTCTTATTTTAGTGTCCTCCATTGTGTGGCACTATGCAATGTACTTTTTTCTATGTCACCCTGTATAAGCCAAAATAGACGAAATTTTCAGAAAATCATATCAACTGTATATTTAAGAATCATGCGATGATATGTATGTTAAATTGTAGCTTAAAGATTCTAGTTTATGATATGATATAAAAACTATAAGATAATATTATTGAAATTTCCAGGAAAGAATTATTAAAGAAGAAATTGTCAAATTAATAAATCAAAAATAATACAAAATTGTCAGAAAATCAATCGTCCTGTATTTTAAAAAATCAAGATATGACATGTATATTAAATTGAAGCTTAAATATTCTAGTTTATGATATGATATAAAACCTATAGTTTAATATAATTGAAATTTCGAGGAAAAAATTATTAAAGAAGAAATTGTCAAATATATAAGTCAAATTAGACGAAATTTTCAAAAAATCATATCAACTGTATTTTTAAGAATCATGAGACGATATGTATGTTAAATTGTAGCTTAAAGATTCTAGTTTATGATATGATATAAAAACTATAAGACAATATTATTGAAATTTGCAGGAAAGATTTCTTAAAGAAAAATTGTTAAATTAATAAATCAAAAATAATACAAAATTGTTAGTAAATCAATCATATCGAAGGTATTTTTAAGAATCAAGATGTATATTAAATTGATGCTTAAAGATTTTAGTTTATGATATGATATAAAAGCTATACGTTAATATAATTGATATTTCGTGGAAAAAATTATTAAAGAAGAAATTGTCAAATATATAAATCAAACAAGATGAAATTTTCAAAAAATCATATCAACTGTATTTTTAAGAATCATAAGATGACATGTTTGTTAAATGGTAGCTGAAAGATTCTAGTTTGTGATAACATATAAAAACTGTATGATAATATTATTGAAATTTCCAGGAAAAAATTATTAAAGAAGAAATTGACAAAATTATAAATCAAAAACAACACGAAATTTTCAAAAACCTTTTGTATGTCTTTTGTATGATATGTATGTTAAAGGAGATGTAAATGGACAGAATGAGAGTAATGAAATTGGAACAATACCTAAACAAATTAAGACCTGGGATAAACCTCAAACCAGTCTGTGCAAGAATAAGGAGCGCCAAATAGTGCTGGACAAACGTAAATATTTTACGAAACAATAGTATTGTTGACCACAATCTATTGGGATCTATGCCAGTTTTATAGTATGGATGGGAGAGAACTGACACGGAAAGAGAATACAAATAAAACCACCATCGTTAGAAAAGATCACCAAAGCTATATAAGCCTAAAAACACAATAAAGTACCCGGAGCAGATAACGTACCCTTCGAATTATATAAGTTCGGTGGTTACCCCCCACCGAAGCATCATATCTCCCATTTATAGAAAAGGTGATAAGCTTGCCTGTAAGAACTACCACCGAATCTTGGTTGGGTTGGGTACAGAGACGGCACGCAAGGTGTTTATATCATATACATCATCAATGAGAGATTGTAACCTATATCAGATATACCGTTATTGATGAATACTAAACCGGTTTTGGATGGGGTAAGTTGACAATTGATCATATATTCATGGTAAAAAAATCCTTAACAAAGCCTGAGCATATAACTTAGACGTATGTAACATTTTAAGTTTTAAGTTAATACGGCTTATAAAGCTATAATCGAGAATACTGAAGCATGGGTGGTATTGAATGTAAGCAAATGAATATCGGAAGAGAAAATTTGCTGACCAGCAAATCATTAAAACTGGCTGCGTATGCAGACGATGCCTTCATTATGAGTCATACGAAAACAGGAGTAGAAGACACAAATTTATATGTATAGGTGATTTTTATTCCCTAACAAAAGGCACCGAGTAAGACATTTTCATTCACAATGAGTTTCCAACTTCGCATTAACCAACAATTATGTTACCGATATCTTATATCTTAAAAATATCTTTATTTAAAGATTAAGGTATAAAATTCTTTCTATTATTATCTAAAAGTAGTCAAGGATTCTATGAAGTGAGGGATAAAAGAAACATAATATGTTTTTTTGTAGACGAATTATTTTTAGCTCACTATAATGATAATAAAAAAACGCCTATAAAACAAGACGTCTCATTTTTATGATGAAGCTATCAATGAAATTATACAATATCCGGTTTTATTTCTACTTCCTATATTAAAAAAAAATTATGATTATTCTTTTTAATTCTTACCATACATTTAACCCATTTATTGGCTTGTCCTTGTGGATCAATAAATAATGGCCATCTTCTCGAACAAGAAACAAGAACGGCATTTTCCGTTGAAAGATAATCTCTGGGTAAACCTTCTAATTGCCATTGTCTTATTTGAACCGCTTCTCCAAGAATGTTAACAGGATTGGAATTTTCAGTGTGAGGTATTTTGTGATTAGATAAAACTCGATACCATTCGGACAACATTCCGCGTCGATATTTGTCAGTGAAATTTGTTAAATAAGCCACAGCACCGGAACTTATTAAAATATCACCCGTTACATTAATAATTTGTCCTTCAATGATACCAATAGTTTCGATCCATCGAACTCTTTCTCCAGCTAATCCAGAAATTAATCTTTGAGCACGGTTTAAACGTTCCTCACAAACAGCCATACTTTTTTCTTTTTCTTCTTTAAAATCGATTCTCGCTTGAAGTTTTCTATTTAAACTGTCCAAACGTTTTTCTACCGCACGCATTCTCGCTTGTGATTCAGCTAATTTCTTTTCGGTTATCGCCAACTCTGCGTTTGCTTCTGCCAAAGCAGCCTTTTTAGGCGCAACAATTTTATTTACAAAATAATATTTATACATCGCGTGAACCCACATGCACAATGAAGTACAAGCTTTTGAAACTTTTGCGATTTTCGCCGGTTCAAAATCGGGATCTTCAACGTATTTTTGCAATTTATTAATCATGTCATCTGTTATTGTATCGCGATCGAAAGATATTAATGATTGTAAGAAAGCACCTGGGTCACCTAACAAATTTCTTCCTGGTTCCCAATAATCCGCAATTTTTTGTCCTGGCTTTTCACCAGCCACCATCTATTTAAAAAAAATTATATAGTTAAAAATGCTTACTTGAAAGCCAATAAAAAATTACTTTTGGTTTAACTCCCTTTACAATGCAAATTGATTCAATGACATAAATAACACCTTGCGGTGGTCTTTTCATTGTTCTAACTTCACTAATATCACCTTTATTCAGTGATTGTAAACTTTTTTCAGCAGCTTCCAAAGCTGGCAAAGCGGCGGCTAAATCTCTTTGCGCGTCTTCGGCAATTGCGGAGGTTGCGATTTGTTTTTTAGTGGCTTCTTCTTCCTCTTTCACGACGACCGCTTTGACCTCTTCGGCAACTTGCGTATCGGCGGCGATTTGAACAATCATTTCTTCGGCCTCTTTCGCGGCTTCTGCCAAAGCTGGTGCCATTATAACCAAGTTTTCTTGTAAAGTTGATACTTCCTTAGAAGTGTTTTGCAATTTTTCCAAACCTATTTTTAATCGATTTACACCCTCTTCAAGTTCAGTTTTTTTCTTCACCATTAAATCGGTATAACTTGAAAGTAATTGTAAATAAAGTGTTGGTGTTACGTAATTGTGTCTGGAAAGTTCTTGTAGGTAAAGGGAACTTGCGTCGACGACTGAAGCGTGCATAAATTGGCACATAATGACGATTCCTTGAAACACTGCCGGGGTAACATCTAGGTCGGGAATTTCTTCCAGAAATTGTAAAGCAACAGACTATTTGAAACGAAACGGTAATGAACTTAGTTGTTTGTACAAAGTAAATTTCTCTTAAAGTTACTTGTAAGGCTGCATCGGGCCATGCACTAAACCAATCGATAGTGCAATTATTTACTAAAGCTGGAAATTGACGGAGGCGTGCTCTAAACAGTTCTCCAATTGGACTAAAAAATGAAAAAAAATCAAGTTTATGAATAAAATAAAATTTATATACCTCATTGATATAACTGTATGCAAATTTATTCGAACACATTTTTGATAAACGGCGAATAAATTTGATTTGGTCGCCGCTAAACCCATCTCAGTTACGAGAGCTTTCATTTCTTGAAATATTTTATCGAGTTCATCAGATGCGTAAATATTTGGAACATCACCCGAATTTAATATGCTGTTTAAATCTTCCAAAAACGATTCGGATTTAATCTTAAAAGAAAAAACATCAATTAATATAGATATGAAAGGAACTGCTTTGTGCACAACTTCTTCATTTTACATATAGAAAGAGGTAAATTAAATTTAGAAGGTTATGCTCTTGAAATTACAAACTATAATAAGCAAAAGCAACGTTTCCTTTCCAATACAAGACAACTAACCGCAACATTTATGGAACATCATCAGACCAGCCCTGATAGATAGATTTATAGCACCTGTGACATTACCACTTCGCCCAATGTTTTATCCGAATCAATGGAGCACCAATGGAAGTCGAAAACAATAATAAACGATCATCATCTATTAACAAATCAACTCCAAAGAGATAATGGATATCAAATACCATCAATATACCATTGAAGACCAAAGAAACTAATTGCTAGGTTCAACACCTAGACAATTAAATAATGTTTGGTTCACAATAAATAATAATTATAATAATGACAAAAGTAACACAGTGGGTGTACTATCATATGTGAAGATGAAGCAGTGAAGAAGAATTATTGTAAAAGGTCCGCAGGATGTGACCTTTTTATATGTCTCAAGCCGGGCTGTTCTGTCAGATTTCGGGCCAGTACATTTGGATGACTTCTTAGGCGCTCGCCATAGCGTCAGGGATGGTGTGAGATGACATCCGTAACCAGTGGTATGTCCAAGTCATCATGGACCACTTTGTTTATTACGTGCCATGATGCCTCAACTATTTGTCGTTTACTTTAGACTGAAAACGTTGTATTTTTTGTATATGGTTCTTATTGACAGTCCCCAGACCTGCGCATCATACGTCTATGTAAAGTTTAGAATGGAATGAAACAGAAGCAATTTATTTTCTATACTTAGGTATGATTGTCTTCTCATTTACCAATACATTTTTCAATATAACTCCCAATTGAAACCTCTGGGTACAAGTGCATTTTTCCCAACTTAAATCGTTGTCTAAATGGATTCCCAAGTATTTACTTTCAGTTTGAATTGGGAGGGGAACATTGTCTAGTCTTACTTGTGGACTTACTTTCTTTTACTTGTGCAGATATATTGCTGTTTACTTTTATTCGCTTTTAGTCCATTCGCCCAGTTTGAATAAGTGCTTTTGGTGATAGTAAGAAGCATTTTCAGGATCCCTATGTAAGGCCAAGTAAACAGTATCATCAGCGTATGTGGCTGCGGTGGTATAAATGCTGCAAAACGCATTTATAGCAAACCGCTGCCCCGTGGGACTCCAGCACGTATAGGTAGAATATTGGGTAGACCTTCCTGTGGGACAAAGAAGGTCTCTCCTCCAAATATGATCCCAATAGGGAATAGAATTGGTGAGGTAGTTGCTTATTAAGTTTACTCTATAAGCCATAATGCCAGACTTTATCGAAAGTCTGCGACATATTGAAGAATACCAGCGTACAATAGCTTTTTTCTTCGAATACCTATCTCACCGTTTTGATGATTCTATGTACCTGTTCAATAGTTCCGTGCTGTTCTCTGAAGTATTATATTTTTCAGATAACGATGGAGTTTGACTAGCAGCATTTTTTCGAATACCTTATTAAGTGCCGGAAGCAAACTGATAGGGCAAAGTATGAGTATGAAGTATTCGAATCGGAGCATGGCATTAAAAATGTAAGCGTAGTAAGTAATGAGCCTGATTTCCTTATCAGGTACTTGCTTCAATATATGCCCTGTAATGAAATCGTAACTAGGGGCATTTCTAGGTTTCAAACTTGTAATCACTCCAAGATGGTCTACTCTCTACTGTTGGTCTACACTACGAGTTCTTCTTCAATAGATGAAAGTTTTCTCATGTGAGGTTGGAAGACTGAAATTATATACTCTACAAATGTGCGAACCTTGTCTTCATCGCTTCTTGCCTATTTCCCATTTTGCATTCTGATCGGATAATTCATATCACGTTGTCTTAGCTGAATTTGTTAAGACATTCCAAGTAACGTCATATGGATATTTTTTTTTAATGCAAATAGGGCATTTCTTAACGAGCGGCACATTTGCATTGAGTTTGGTTGTGCGGTGAGGTGAGTCATTTTTTTAACTTTCTTTTCAGTATTCAATCCGTTTGTGTGTCTAGGTGTCGATGTTACAGCCCATGCAGCTTTCTGAATATGTAGGGTTAAATTTCTGATCGCTGTTTCTACATCACCCCTAGATTTGAGGGGAATTTGGGTGTCGATTAAGGTATCTTTAAGACATCTCTGACTACCTGCCAATTGGTGCTCCTGTTATAAGAAAAGAGTTTAAAGTCCTGCGTGCAGAGGACTGGGCTATTGATATGCAATTCTTTTTTTATCATGTAAAAATTAATGGTGTCGGGAATTCTTGATATGTCAGTCCATTTTTTGAACTGAATTTAATACTTTTCTGCCTTTTGGTGTAATTATGATAGAACTCCATTAGTGGTGTTTAGCATAATAGTCTCCAGCCGTTATGAATGTGTTAAAGTCATCCGTTGAGATACTGGCAGAAACCGTGCCAATCGTCTATGCTTACAAATGTAGCTTGGATATTTGGCTGGAACACCTTTTCCATTACAATGTGTTTAATGAGATTTTTAACGTAACATATAGCGAGTAGTTTGTCATTTTGAAAAAAAACCTTGTTTGTCATATGCACTTCAGAGATAAGCATGAGATCGCGTTTATGTTTGGTTATAAACAGTTTGAGTTCCTGTAAATGATTCATCAGTCAGTTAGCGTACCTGGCTCCAACTTTAATATTATTGAATGTATTTTTTCCATCATTTTATTGATTATTTGCTCTAGGTTGTTTAGCGATGGCGATGATAGCTTCATTGAGCCTTGATGAAGCTTGATGATAGCTCCATTGAGCTTTTTGAGCCTTCTCATCAGCAGATTAAGATGTAACATGAACAAAGCTTATGTTAGTATTTATGTTCTTTCGCAATGTGGAGAATGTTTTCTTCTACAGCTCTTTATAAACGGCTCAACATTTACAGGTGGCGGGATGGTTTTCTCCGCAGCTTTCGCATTTCACATTATTGCTTTTTTTCTCCTCGATATTGCAAGGTTCTCTAAAGCAATTCTTTCGAATGTGTCCAAAGTGTTGACATCTTAAGCATTGAGGTAATTTCTATTTTGGGTTAGGGGGTTCAATTATCACTAATGTATCTATCATTTTTTGTTATTTGGTGCATCTTGAAACAATTCCACATTGAACAAAGGTAATGCCTTTTTGATGTTTCTCTTTCATATACTTGATATACTTTTAACTTGATGGCCAAGGTTTTATATTCCTTTCTTTAGATCATTCCGTTCTGTGGATGAATATTATGGACCATCACTCTGAAGTTACGATCTTCAGCTACGATCTTTTTGAGTTGATATATGTGATATTGAGTTTTCTTTTCC